CTCAAGAGGTTTCTAGTTTACAAGATTGAGCTGGATTATGTGCTGCTCAAAAAGAACAGTATAGGGCTGTATAGCAGGGAGGTCATGAAGCCACTGACATCTACGCTTCAATTTGATCTACCACTTATCCCTTGTGAGACTTTTTACTGGTGACTCAAACACTCTGTGACAATTACCTCATTTGTAAAAGGCAGGCCCTGACCATCTTTTGAGATTATTCATTTTGGTTTTTTTTAGATCACAAAAAATTACCTTTTACTATTACAAAGAGTTGTCGATGTTAAGGTATCTTCACAATAAAAAAGACACTTTTCTTATGTATGTATCTGCCTAGACACGCATGAAATACACCTGGCTTAATAAAGTTCACCCTGCTGGCAATATTGAACTTCATCTGTCTCCTAGATTAAGCCACCATGCAGAAATCCTTACACTTTTCTGTTCCGCGAAACTGCAGGCCACATAGGACGACGTTTCCCCGTAAGATCCAGCTAATAAGGCTTGCTGTCTGTCCACTCTGTGCTTGAGCCAGCCGAGTGCTGGCTCCCACAACACTCTCAGGTGACAGACCTTCTATTGCTTGTTCCTTTGTCTCTCATGGATGCTACACTTAGAATGGAGGTTTGTCCTGCTAAAAAACTGGGCACAGAGCTCACCATTCCCTGGTTTAGGGGACTGACACTTTTTCTAATTACAAGCCCCGCGCCCCCAGCAGCTCTTGCCATTACAGTCAGTGGGTTTCTCCCTATAAAACTAAAAGGCAAACGCAACCCCACCAAGACACCCTAAGTCTACACCTGGGGCGATCTGTCTATTGGAGTGTACCTCAAAAGTGAAACTTCATTGATTTGGTCTTTGGTTGTCCTAATGGGTTTCTTTCAACCCAGGCACAACCACTGAGTGGACAAAGCAGACTCCGAGACGAGTTTTCACACGCACACCCCACACCAGAACTTGCCAGCTGAACCGGGGCCAGGAAGCCTCCAGTGACGCAGCGCGGCTCCCACGAGCCCAGCCCATGACGTCACGCCCGCTGCTCAGCGCCTTTTCCCACCGTCTCCACACACATGGAGGATTCCTAAACCCTGCGCTCAATTCTAGGCTGGGCAGCTCATTACAGGGAAAATTCACATTCTTAAAGTAATAGTCCTGTGGTATAACAGAATCGGTGTGTTAAAGTATCAGATTATTACAATTTCAAGATAACACTGATACAAGCACAAATTGGTGAATGTGAATTAAAGTAGGTGACAGTAGTAAGAGGAGAGATTGATGCAAGAGTCGCAACAGGACGGCAGCGATGTGCCATTTGGGGTCAGCCTGCATGCCAGACCAAACCGGGCGGATAAGGACCGGACCCATCCAGAAGCGCGGCCAGGCCCCTCCCGCAGGAAAACCCACCACCACGATTTCCAGCCAAACGGCTACCGCAGTCGCTGCAACCAATCAAAGCCCAGCCTCTCCGAGGCGTCGCTTCCCGATGACGCATTCCCGGCGCGCAGTACACAACTTTGCTCTGCAGCCTCTCTTGCCTCCGGAGGATACCTCCTCTCTGTGGTCTTACCCAAGGCCTACCTAGCGCCTCGCTGTTTCCCTACCTGGGGAAAGGAGGCGTCACGCCCGCGAGTGGACGGCGAGACCTGCGGAGGATAGTGAACGCGCGTGAGCCAGGCCGAGAGAGACTGAGAGGATGAGCCCAAGGGGGCGGGGAGAGCGGGAAAGGGATGGAGAGGGAACCAGAAACGGAGAGAGCGCGCCACAAAAAAGAGCGCCAGACAGCAAAGCTGAGAGGCCGAGTGAGACCCGGAGGGAGCTAGATCTTGAGACGGCCCAGGAGGCCTGGGAGAAAGAACCGCCCTAGAAGAGAAGGACACGGCCGTGCCCGAGAGACTCCTAGGCGGGGCGGCTGTGTTCCGGGCCCCCCGCTGGTCGCGTGGCCGCGGTGAAGGGCGCCCAGGGAGGGTTGTTGCTTTCCTTGGGCAGCTCGTGGCTTCGCGTCGCCCTCAGAATGGCGTTTGGACCGCCTACGTGTCGCATAGTCCTCGTTCTGTAGCTGGGGCTGCTGGCTTGAAGAGGGAATATAGGACTGAAACTTTGTGGGGGCCTCCTTTAGCAGCGGGGCTGTCACTGGGCTCAAATTCGGTCTGGTCCAGAAGTAACTGGTTTCAAGGGGCCGGGGAGATAGCTCCGTAGAATAAGCGCTTCCCTGGCAAGCGCAAGGGCCTGAGTTCAATCCCCGGTTCCGAAAAAAAAAAAAATGCAGCTCCAGAAATAACCGGTTTCAGCGGGGCGTGGTGGCTCAAGCCTGTAGCCTCAGCACTCGGGCCGCTGAGGCAGGAGGATTTGGGCAACTTCCAGGCCAGCCTGGGTTACATAGAGTTCGAGGCTAGCTTGAACTACTTGGGAAGACCCTGATTTTAGAAGAAAACAATGAAAAGGAGGAAAAAATAACGCAGAAAGAACCTATTTCGTTGGCATCTCCTTCCCCCCTCCCCCGCCCCCAGCTCATAGTGTGAGACAGAATCATTCAAGTGTTTTGGAGAACGGTGACATATGTCAAATGAAAACGTGAGAAAAGCTTCCTAGAACGCTTGAGAGAGACAGTGGTCAGGATGTTAATTAGGAATGAGTACACTTGCCTCCCATAGGCTCTGTGATTCCTGCATTAGCACACAAATTACTCTGCAGTCAAGCAACTGCAGGCCGGAAGTGTGTGGTAGTCAGAGAAGAAAGGCATCTTTGGTTGTCCCCAGTGCTTGAGTGCAGCAGTGGGTTCAGAAATGTGGTGTTAGGATTAGTCACAGATTTCCACTGCCATCCCCCAGATCATACAGCCTTCTTAGCAGAACTGGATTTGGGTGTTGACCAGCATGTGTGAGGATTGTTTTGTTTCACTTATCCAAAAAGGCCAGTGGCCTTCCCTGGCTAAGCCTTTCAGTGTACCTAGCTTGCAGCACCCAGTGGAAGGTCAGAAAGGAAGGATTTGTATATTTGAAGGAGCAGGATTTCAGTAGCTCCCTGTCAAGGGGCAGTGTCTCTTAACTTGGACCATCTTGACATCGAAGACAGTGTTGGGGGAAATTGTTTGTAGGGAAGCACTGCTTCAACTCCGGATGTAGATGGCGCTGAAACTCATACCTGGGTTGTGTGAAATAGTTCAGTTAAAACCAAATATTGGTGATCCCTATACTTTACCCAGCAAGTTCCTTGAAGCTGTTCCAAAGATCAGTGCTCAGTTCTAGGCTGGGCAGTTGTTCATGACAAGGAAAATTCACATTCTGAAAGTAATAGTCTTGTGGTATAACAGAATCTGTGTGTGCTATTATGAGAGTATTACAATTTCAAGACAATGACAATCATACAAGCACAAAATGGAGAATGTGAATTAAAGTAGGTGACAGTAGTAAGAGGAGAGATTGATGTAAAGAATAATATAGAGACCTTTGTATTTTTACAGGCCTATGTGAGTGAGAAGTGGATATCATCCCTACCTAGCTATGTGACCTTAAGTAGTTGAATCCCTCTGATCATTTACCTTATCTAAACTAGGGGTAGTAATACAAATCGAGCACCCCTAATCTGAAACTCCAAAACCAAAGTACTCTAAAACCTGAATACTTCTGACTGCCGGGATGGTACCAGAAGTAGAAAATTCCACAGGTGATCGCCTCTGACACCGTTAAAATGAGGAGGTGTAGCTCTGCAATAGAGGGTGTGCTTAGCATTCCTGGGTCCCTGGGTAGAATTCCCAGCAAACATGCACGGGCGTACACACAGGCAGAATACATGCACAATTACAGGTGCATTGAGGGTATTGTATAAGATTTTCTTTAGGCTATGTATTGTGTGAAATTTATCTTTAGCTTATGTCAAATTCATCATATGTCATGTGATACATAAGTGGATTTTGTTTGGGCTCCAGTCTTATCCTTGAGATACATCATTTTGTATGCACATATCCCAAAATCTGGAAAATCTGCACTGGGAAACATTACTGGTCCTACTCAGCCTGCACTGTGTGCCACAGCAACCCAAGGAAGAAGCCTTTCCACACGCCCTGGGCTCCAGGACCTCCTCTGTGTTCCGATCCCTCTGTGACTCGTGTTTTGAGCTTTGCTTTGTTCATCGCCTTGCCTCACTGACTGGCCGCCCTCTGAGGACTGTTACCCTGCAGGAGTATGTGTTGTCCATGACTGGATGCAGAAGGTGTCTCGGCTTGATTGTGTATTCATCCAGTGATTGTGTTGTTCCCCCCACACTGCCCAGAGTTCGGAACCATGTGCCTCAGTGCTATAGTTTCCCACTTCCTAGTGGGCAGGTATCCTTACGCCAGCTGTTTCCCAGCTAGAAATAATGTGCTGTGAATGAGTGGATACAGCAGATCCTGTGCTCAGATTTCTGTTCATTCAGTGTGTAGGAAGCATTGTGTCTTCTGTCCCAACTTTACCCCAGCTGTCTACTACTAGTGGAGTCCCTGGTTGTTGCCTCTCTTCTGTTTCTTGGACAAAATTTTACTTCCTCAGACTGAGCTCTGTCCGCAGGATGGGGCTATATTGGCTATCTCACCAACAGGACCACTGAACGCAGTGTGCTCTCAGTAAAGGCTGCTTGCACGGATGCACCCTCACCACGCAGGTTATGTTGTTGTGTAATGAAGGGGCAAATGTTACTCAGCAATTGTCTGTCAGCAGTATCTGCCATGTGAGCCCACTGATCCTTGGGGACCAGGTGAGCTCTTCACTAGCAAGAAAAGATTTCTCCTAGATGTTCTTCTGCTGCTTTGGCCCATCTTCATCTTTACCAGTCCCTAAGAGACCTTCCTTGAACCACCCCTGCTGTTGTCTCTTTCAGGCCCCCTGCCAGGAGGTCACTAATGCAAACACCATGTTGGTGTCTTGATTTTCTTTTACAGGCAGAAGCAGGCCCTGCTAGGTATTACTGACTTTACTGTTCTTTTCTATGAGGTACTAATGCCATACCCTCCATTCTCAACCCTGCAGGATAGCGCTTACACGTGGAAGCACCAAAATTACAGAACACCTGTGTGAGAAAGACCAGACAATACTGCCTCATCCACTACTGTATGGCTGGGACTCAGACTCCTTTTTCCCTGGCATTGTAGAAGGTAGGTGAATACTTTTCAGCATCCTTTACCCTGCACAGGTCTCAGTCACTTACCCATGGGAATTTGCCATTTCTGGAAAAGCATCGTAGTGTTACTTGTTATCATTAAAGGAATCCTGTTCCTTAG